CTTTTAGATTGAAATACCTATGTTCATTCAAAGTTTCTCTTCTTTACAAAGAAAAAAAATGCTTTGGTAGGACGTGAAAGAGAATAATTTATTTTTCATGTCTTCCCAGCTGGCAGAAATCGATGGAAATGGGAACATGTTGCCGTTCCCCACTGGCTACCTCCACATGAAGTTCGAGGACAGCCAGGCAGTGCTAGACGACTACTCTGACGTTGTTCTTTATGAAAGAGGCCACTTGAACCCAGACCAGCACCAGTCCACTCCACACGACCGCGCCGCCACCTACACACTGACTAACGTGGTCCCAGAGATCAGGGAGTTCAACATCGGACCGTGGCGTGAGTATGAGGAGCGAATCCGAGTGCGCCTCAACAACTTCTGCCGTGGCACTGCCTACATCGTCACCGGAGTGACCACCAGGGGGAACATGATCCGTCGCAACAACCAGGACAGGGTGGCCATCCCTGAAGACATATGGTCCGCGTACTGCTGCACCGAGTACGACCGCAACTCTCCCCACGACGTGCGCATCCTCTTCCCGTCCCATGGGGCTTTGGCCAAGAACGCCAAAGAGGGGAACAGTGTTCATGAGATGACGGTGCAGGAGCTGGAGATGTTTCTGAAAAACCACATGGATGTCGACCAGAACCTTCAGATCTTCTATGACAACTGCGTCTCTCCCTCACCTCTCCCACTGTACCTGCAGCACACCATCTGAGGGATGTCCCATTTACCATGTGTTGATCTGTTAGACATGTGTGTGATCGTGCTAGATACATACGTTTCTCCTAATAAGAAAGGCCAATATTCCACAGTAAAAAAAAGATAATGTTTTGATTGTATCAAAATTTGAAGGTGCATTTGTTTTGCTGTACTGTGTTGAGATCGACATGACTACACTGTTGTGTGGGAGGTGACGCAAATTAATTTAATAAAAATCTCACAATTAACCATAATAAACCCTTATTGTGTTTGTGTTTCTCAAACCAAAATTAGAACATTAGACCTCCAATAAATCCAGGGGTTTTGCATTTGCAGTGACAATATGAATTAGTGAGTTTAGGGGTAAAATTTCAATCTTCTAACTAAGCATGAAGTAAATATTTACAACCTCTTTCCGTAAAACATTGGGAAGGATAGGAGAACTCTTCTGGAGACTTCTATGGACCCATATTCAGTTTTAGTTTGTCACATTTTCTTTTTCACTACAAGCAAAAAAAAGGTTTGTATATGTGGTCGGAATGTCCCATTCAAGTTTGTCACACCCAGAGGAAATTAAATATACTCACAAATATAATCTCTCAGCCTGATTGTTAAAAAGGCACAAAGATATATTCTATTTTCCAAGACACCGTGTGAGCTGTCAGACCTCTCAAATAGAAAACTCCTTTATGTTTGCAGCAGTAATTTTCCACTGCTAGTTTAGTCACACTGCCATCTACTGTTGGAGCAACAGTACTGATTGTGGTGTATGCTGAAGAAAATATAGATTTTGCCCAATATATATAGTTGAGTAAACACAGATCAGAGGATGGGACGGCCATCGTTGTGAAACAGACCCAGCCAAGATATTTTGGAATTGGAAATGAATGTCATTTCAACGTGAATGAATGGAATTAAAGTCAGACTTCAGTTTGTGTAAATTTCTCTGTGGACACATTAGGAGCTGAGAGGACATTTTTCCTTCTTAGAGTAAAGGACAGATTTAAAAATAATTGCTTTGAAAAAGAAAATTGTGCAATAATAATAAAAATCCCCATACATGAGAATTGTCTTATGTACGATCACATCACATATATGTGTGTTTGTGTGTGTGTGTGTGTGTG